GCTCATTTATTAGACTCTACATCAAAAAAATGGAGAACACAGTATCCAGGGCATGTAGTTACAAAAAAAGGTATGTGTATAGTAAAAAACACACAAAACAAAAGAAATCACACCCAAGTATGGTGAATTTACCAAAAACCATGTTATTATCAAAAGAGAAGAAGAAAAACACATCAGAAAGATTATTCTGCCTCAGGATCATGTCTTTGAGCTGGGCCCATCCAGAGGGCTTCATCTACATCACAGGCAATGTTGTCCCTTGACAGGCAAAAAACCGGGCCTCCCCCCACGGGGCCCGGCCGGGCTTAGCCCGAACGAGTGACGTGGGGACGTCCTCCTGTGGGCTCACCACCTGCAGGAGGATCCGTAAGGGGCCGGTGCATAGTGGATTGGGCAGCAGTCGAAGGCAGGGGCCCCGACGACCCGATCTCTGGACACGGAGACTAGCCCTGGGGACATGGAATGTCACCTCGCTGGTGGGGAAGGAGCCTGAACTTGTGCAGGAGGTTGAGAGGTACCGGCTAGATATAGTCGGGCTCACCTCCACGCACAGCTCGGGCTCTGGAACCTTACTCCTTGAGAGAGGCTGGACTCTTAACTTATTTTGTGTTCCTAATTTTAAGCTGACAAAACTCCACGAAATTGACAAAATAATGTAAACACAACAGACTGCCAAATACATTTTCCATTACTTATGAATCATTTAATCACACTAATCATAAGAAAGATCATTACTTTTGTAGACCACCTTTTGCCAATAGTATAAGAAACGCATTTGAGTTCAACAAAATAGGAAACTACACAGTTTACATGACACACCACTCGAAGGTATCCATTATGATCAGAGAATGTACGTCTATATTCTCTTCGGTAGGTGGCAGCAGGGCGTTAGACCGATTCCCCCTGTCTACGATGGAGTTTCACAGTGAGGAAGAGAAATGGGCGTGGCTTTCCTGGCGCCACAGCGCCACTTTTGAGCGGTGATCATCATCGTCAACAATAACAGACTATTGAAGTTGCAAAGAGTGGTTAAGGCAACCTGAAAGTAGTACCACGAAACCAAAGTCTTCGGGTGTATGTGGAAGGTATATGATGTACTAGTTCGTATGAAATGTTATTTAATATTGAATGAAAGCACTGATAAACACACGGTTTTTCTGTAGGACTGGAATCTGCTATTCTTGTATGGTTGCTAGGAGCGTTAGCTTGCTAACGCCACTAGCTTAGCTGAGCCAGAGCCATTAAGATAGCGCTAATGATAACTACCGTTAAGGAGCAGCGAAACCACCTAGTGGAGCGTATAATCAAAACACGTCTCCACAGCGGCGATAATAGCAGCAATAAGACACAACTAAACAGTTCGCTTGGTGAGTTTTTAGTACTAGCTAAACAAACTGTCTTGCAGCTTTTAAGTTACTACGAGACTTCGATGTTACATTTAAATCTGACAAGTTAAAAGGTGAGGAACAGCTGATGAGTTGGTCAGATATGGACGGCAGATGTATGTGTGGTCCTGTAATAGTAAACAACTACTGATTATGGTATTTTATTACATGATTAGTAGAATTACATGAAGAAATCATAGTTACTCTCCCCATCCAGTTTTCTAATGTTTACAGATAGGAAAACAACTTGCATGTCGTATTATTATTGAGGCGCAGCGACGCAGAGGTCAGCCTTCGTTATTGCCAGTTCTTTGACGTCAGCTTGGTGTGTCTCTGCGCTAACGTGGACATTCAGGTGTTACCCTGAAATCCGGTGAAACATTATTTTTAATAGTAGGCCAACTATGGAGGAAAGGCTGTTGAGTTGTACCAATATTGACATCTGAGGACATGACTACTCTACAGACACAACTATTCATTACTGGCCAGTTGTGTCCGATATCAGAGCTGTAATACCAGTCAAGTTGTGTTAGTTTATGAGGCAGTCACCATTTTTGGTAACATATTAAAATGTTTACTTATATGACCAGAAAAAAACCTTGGGAAGCGGCAGCATACTGTAGTTGAAATTTCTAGCCAAGTCACAGAATGTGACTATTTTATTGGTTATGTTGACCTTAAGATAAGATTCAGAATTGATTGAAATGTTGTGATAAAAGACAGTACAAGTGAATAGTGTTGGGACATTTTTCTCTTTCAATAGTTATGTTTTTTTAAGGATGTTGACCATACACACATAAATCAAGAAATGGATTGAGGCAGCTATTTTATGTAGAAAAACTGAATTATTCTGACAAGCGAAAAGATTCCTTAATGCTCTTTTAAAATATTTTTGTTCCCCTGTAGAAGATGGTTCAAGATGGAGCTCCGATTCGGCGCCAGGGTGCCCATGACTTTGTGGCATACTATGATTTTGCCTGTGCCAGGCAGGAGTTGGTTCCTCTTCCTGCTGTCAAGATGAACCTTGACAAAGGGATGCTGGACTTTAATGGAGACAGAGTTAAATTGACAGACTGGCCACCCATCCTCAACTCTATTTCCATCAACAAACACCTGCATCACATTGCAATAAGTAGTACATATCGGGCTAGTCTGGGTTCTGGAGATGCAGGTAAGGCAGAGAATGAACCCAGTACATCAACTAATAGTGAAAAAACAACAACAGTGTATACCCTCTTAATTATCCATATTATTGAAACGTGCAGGATAATTTGAATTAGAAACCTGAGTGACTTAACAGTTTTGCCAAAAAATAATATAACCACCAATTTCAGATAGAAGGTACTATAAATCGAGCTTCAGGAAGAAGATCCCTGCCATTCGCTCTAGGGACATGACATTTAAGTTGTGCAAGGCCCTGAGAGAGTGTCTGACTGTCTCTCCAAACCTGAAGACTCTGCATCTTAGTGGACTTCCACTGAGAGAAAGGGACCTCATCGCTTTGACAAAGGTAAAAACAGACCGAGAATAGGATTTGTAGTGTAAATGGGGAAGTTTTAACTGTTTTATTGTGGTAATTTCTACTTGTTTAGAAAGACTGGAATAGAACTATAAGCTCATCTACATTTACTCCCCACTTTTATCTTTTACCAGAAATAGACTCTGAGCTGTGAGTTTTGAGAAATAACCCAATTTACCATAAAGTGTGGGGAATACTGTTGGATGTGTGGAACATAAAACTTGGATGAAACACTGACTTGAACAGCCCCATTGTTTAAGAGTGAAATTTGATTAAAAATAAATGAGCTATGTATTTTATTCCAGGGTTTGGCAAAAAGTGTTTCCTTGGAAAACCTATCTCTGGCTAACTGTCCAATCACTGATGAGGGCTTAGAGGGTATGAACATCCACAATGTTATTTTCTTTATAAGATTATACTTTATGTGAGCATGTTGTCTTTCAAACCTCCATTTTCATGTTCAGTCATTTGCCAGAGTGTGAAGTATTCTTCAAGCATCAGGACAGTGGATTTCAGTGGGTGCAGTCTCACCTGGAGGGGGGCAGAGCATATGGCCAACATCATAAAGGTGTCATGTTTTATTTTTAAGGTTTAACCTATCGTACTATTTTAATGTGTTATGGATTGTGCCTACTGTGGTGTAATTAATCATTATTATTAAACCAGCCTTTTTCCCCCAAAAGTTGACTGCATTAAAAACATGTTTTTAGAAGAATGCACTTTCTTTCCCAGCATCAGGGAATGCAGAGGCATGGTACTGCATGGGCAGAGTCCCTGAGGTATCGACAGCCACAGTTTGAGGGAATGAGAGGCCTCCGCCGTGTCACGCTTAACTCTAACATTTTGATTGGAGACCGAGGTGCTGCTGCTCTTGCACATGAACTCACTGAGGACCTTTGGGTTAAAGGTTAGTAGGTGTTTGTGGGTTTGATACAGCAGAATAAAGAGAGAAGTTGTTTTTTGTTTGCTATTTTTTTGTTGTTGCAGGAAATTTGCTCAGGATTTCTGTTTTGTGACTTATTGAACAGCTGTGGATCTGCAGAGATGCGGGCTATCCAATGAAGGAGCTCGTCGTTTGCTGGAAGCTTTGAAAACAAATTCCACTCTTTGTGTAGTGGATATTCGGAGTAACCCTTTAGTTGGTAAGGAGTCAGCTCAGTGACCTTTTCTACTTGTTTGTGCACCATACAGTTTTGGCCAGTATTAGTTAATGCTGGTGTGTTATTGGTTCCACACAGAACTTTTGGATTGTGGTTGTAATAAACATTACAGCCTGTAGGCTCTGTCCAAATTGAATGCTAACTAGCAAAATGCTATACTTACACTCTAATACTATGATTACTTTAATTCTGTAACTGTTCAGAAATGTCTCTAAAAACAACAACAACAAAAAACAAATCTGGAAAATATTTTTCTTTGCTGCTGTTTTTTTCCTTTACAGACAAGGACCTAATTAAAACTATAATAGAGAAGGTATTGATGAATGCTGATGGACAGTCACCAGAGGTCAGTGTCTGCTGTTAAAGGCTAACAAAAACTATCCAGATTCTAGGTGTAGTGTTGTAGTGTATTTGCATATGTGTCTGAGACAGACTGTAGCTGTGTCTCTGTTTTTAATGACTTGTATCTTGTTGCACTACAGTATTGCTGGATCAAGCCTGCAGCCACAGAGACACAGAAGGCTCCTCCAAAGAGGCTATCACTGCCAAGTTCATTCAGAGGAAAACCTACATTTAAGATAGGTATATACAGTATGTATACAAATATAGATGTCTGTCTAGGTCATATATCAAGGCCACTCTATTTTTAGTCAAGCAAAATAAACTACAAATATTTGTGGCAGTGACCTCGTGATGTGAGTGACCATTCAGCCAGTAAAAAAAAGGCTAGCCTCTTTCATTAACACAAGCACAATGCATTTCTTTCTGTGCTTGGTTAAGCTAAAAAGAAGTAGTATTTTGTATATACCAGGTTAAAAAAGGGTTCATTTTCACATTCAGACCCAATCTGTTTAAGTTGCCAGTGTTAGATTTCCCCTGCCTGTATTTAGCACCACACATCTTTCAGGCTCAAATCTGTTGTCTGCTCCCAAACTGCAGATTAGGCATCTAGATGTGCAGTAGTTTAAATCTCAATGTACATCAGAAAGTCTCCAGTTTGCACATTGTTGAATTTTCTTTAGATAGTGTTTATGATCGTATAGTTATTTGACTTATTTTTGACTTTTTGGCTTTTAAGTCATATGGAGACATGGTAAGACTTTAAATCATTTTAGTTCTGTCCACCCTTTGTTACTCCAGACAGTTCTGATAACCACTGTATAAAGAAAATGTCTTGAAGTGCCTTAGAACATTAAAAGTTTTGTTAGTTTACCTTTATTGAAATGACAAAATTTCACAGATTGCTCTTTAAATAATTTTTTTGCACAGTAAGTCATGGTAAACCTGCTTGTGTCCTGGTGGCTATTATGAGGAATGACTACACATAAAACAGAACCTGGATCATTCACTCATCACCAAATGAAATACACTGAACACTGTGAGGGCCTTTGCTTCCATAACTGTGTCGTTGCTCAAAAACAGTGCCTATTTGCTAATGCTCCCAGAAAATACTACCTGTAGTTTAAAGATCTGTTCTTTAGTATTCAGGTCTTCAAAAGTCTGTCCTTCTGATGCAGCCCCTCATAAACGAGCATCTCCTGGAGGGCGGAATTCAGGTGCTGCTCAGGCACAAAAGCCCTATTCCCGCTCCTGTTGTGTCCCTTGGCGTGCTGCTGCTCGAGCTGGGCGTCAGAGGTGAGGAGATTTTGGCATACCAGCCTACTTTTAGTTTAAAGAAAGCTGTCTTACTTTTATAGATATAACACATATCATTTATTATTTTAAAATTCCAATAGAACCAAATTATCAGAGCAAAACAATGTAGTTACTAGTGTCACTGTGATGGTGACTCAAAGACAAATAGTCGCAAGAAAAGGTAATGGTGCTGTTTGCGGTCTCCTGGTTTTCTGCATCAGTTTGTCATGAAATGTGATCTGATCTTCATCAGAGTAACAAATATCAACAAACACAATATTTCAAAGTTGGTAAAACACAAACACTCATGATCTTTCATGTCTTTATTACAAAATGATAGTGGAAATGACCACACCAGTCTTCTGATGTCACTAAACATCAACTGGAGTCAGGTGTTAGCAAACCTGGAGTCCGGTCGATGAAACGGAGAATGGAGATGTGGTTTAGATCTACCATGGTTTAAACACTCAAACAGTCAGCGTGCTGTTCACAAGCAGCATCAGCTGATGTGAGCCATGCCTCTAAAAAAAAAAAAAAAGAGATCTCAGAAGACCTATGATCAGGAGTTGTTGATTTGCATGTAGCTGGAAAGGCTGTACTGTCTGTACATTGAGACAATTTGGTACTGTGGCTACTCTCCATAGAAGTGGACGCCCAGCCAAGATCACTCCAAAGGCACAACGGAGAATGTTCAGTGAGGTAAAAAAGAAGCCTAAAGTAACAGCTAAAGACTTGATTTGATTTGATTTGATTTATTCATTCAAGCATGTAAAACAGTTGATATGTCAACACATGTAATTTCACACATATCCAACAATAATAATCCAATATCAATTTACTTATACCTAGTACATGCTTGAACGGAGTAGGAAGAAGTTAGACTTATCTAGTCCTACCCCATGACATCATCTTACAACTTTTAAGTCCTAAGCAATATCTCTACATAAATAATTATCCTCTACACCACACAAGTAATATACTACAGAATTATTACTGAGTGTTAACATTCTACATAATTACATTCATAGATAATTATCTTCTACGCCACACAAGTAATATACTAAAGAATTATTACAGAGTGCTAACTTGAAGGATTCAGTGGAGTTGGTTAACGTCTTTGTTAATGAGTCAGCCATATCACGACAACACCCTGACACTCCAAGCACTACTGGGAAACTGTCCCGTGGACAGATGAAATGAAGGTAGAATTGTTTGGGACGAACACACAGCGCTATGCATTGCGTACTAAGAATATGGCTGAGCTGAAGCAGCTCGATGAAGAAGAATGGTCTAGAACTCCTCCTGAGCGTTGTGCAGGTCTAATCCACAGCTACAGGAAGTGCTTGCTTGAGGTTATTGCTGCCAAAGGTGGTTCAACCAGTTATTAAAACACTACTGCCATTATTTTTTTTACTGTCACTTTGTAGTTTTAATGGGCATGTTCAATAAAGACATGAACGATCATGACTATTTGTGTTTTATCAGCTTAGACATCTTGAGTTTGTTGATATTTGTGACTTTGGTGAAGATCAGATCACATTTCATGACTAAGCAGAAAACCAGGAGACTGCAAACAGTTTATCATGTCCTCTATTATTTTCTTTTGCAATTGTATAATAATGGATGCTTTTGTTGCAGAGGTCTGCCTCCTGGAGTTAGTGCCATTGAGCAAAGCTTTCAGGTTAGTTTTCTCAAAGTTTTAGATTGTTTATATATACAGTATCTGCCACTGAATGACGGAGTAGAAGATCAGAGGTCTAACAGGAACAGTAAAAGTTTGCAAAGAATTTGAATAGAATGCAAATACTATTTTCACTTGATTCCAGAATGTGAAATACATGCTTTTGTTTAGGGTGCAGCTACAGTGAAGCTTAACATGGAATCACATTCAGAGGGAGAGGAGGATGAGGAAGAGGAAGAAGAAGTGGTGGTGGTGGAAGTGGAGCAGAGACCATCTTCTCGCAGTCTTCAGAACAGGATCACTGGAAGGCAGTTTGAACTTATGCAGGTCAGTCACGACAGGCTAGTTCCCAATCAGAAACTAATGTTTTGTAGCCACAGCAGCAAAGTTTTGGAACTAACAGTTGACTATGAAGCACTTGGAACATGCTGTGTCTGTGCGTGTATGAGCTTTGTATGTCCTGCAGATGGAGCTAAAAGAGTGTCGTTTGAGGCTCGCAGAGGAGCGCAGAGCCAGATTGAAAGCTGAGTCAAGGCTCATGGAGGTAATAATTATCTAGATAATACTTGCAAATAATTTTCCTGCCAGTGCCATATTTTTTTTCTGTTTTCTTCTTCTGCTGCAACTTTACAGCTCTAGTCAGTGCCAAAGTTATGACACAGTAGGATTTCTATTCCACAGCATTCTTGTATAGCTAGAAAGTCAGTCGGCCACATTAGAGTGGCCTTTGGATAATTACTGGCATTATAACTCCAAATTAATTTGTGCTTTTGAAACACTTGGATGTAACGTTTGCCTGTGCATGGGTCTAAGGTACAGTACTGTGTTATGTTCATATAATTGGTTTTGTAACTCAACAAGCAAAAGGCTGGTTTGTAACATGCAGTTTTATTCTGTCTTTTTGTTTTTTTACATTCAGTATGAATTAGAGAATGCCCGTCTTCGTGATGCCAACCACTCCCTATCAGTGGCACTTGCAGCCACTGGCTCTGCATCAGCACCAGCTGCTTTCAGTGCTCTTGAAGACGAGGCTGTCCTTCAAAGCATTGAGAACTCATTTACCAAGTTTCATGCTTTCCTGGATCTCCTCGAGGATGCTGGGTGGGTATTGTTGAAACTGGCCAGTACAGTATTTCTCTTTTGACGGACTGTGCCAGTTCTGTTCTGGGTTCAGGTGTGTCTGGACTTTTTGGGGTCTCAAGGGTCATTTCTGAGATCAGTGTAAATCTGAGTAAATATGCACACAGATAATATCTTAATTCACGAAAGACATCCTTATTTCATTAAAATTGACTAGATTTTCAACAAAAACGACTGAAATATACACATTATTCCAGAAAACTAAGAGCAAATGAAAGCTAGGTCGCGCAATGAACTATACGAAGCACACTTCCTTTTTATAAGGTTTTGGGCCATGAAACGTCCTTTTTGCTTATTTTTCGTACATTTAACAGAATTGAGACTCAGTAGTTGATTGGTTAGACTAATGTTAGGGTGATTTTTATTTTATGCACTTATGAATGGTTTTGTTTTAGGACAGTCTTTTCTGTTTATCCTAAACAGTGAAGATCCATGTGCACATGCTAATTTTGATACGTTAATACATAATAAATTTCACACTGTGAAATATCCTTTTATGAGTCTTCTCTTTTCAAAATAAAAGAACACGACTCACACTAATTATATTGAATTTCACAGTACCAGTATCAGAGTTTATACTGCCTAGTAGAGAACGATGCCATCATCCATCACAGTGTTTTACTGTAGACATAGTCCCATGCCAATTCAATAGACGTTGCCCGTCTTTACTGCCTAGTTGAAATAAGTAGCGAAAATTTGTAACCAACCTGTCTGGGATTTTGTTATATCAGTCTTATTTAATCAAATAAAATGTGTCAACATCAGTTATAAAGCACCAGAAAATGTTAGTTGTATTTAAGGCGGTTTTTCATTTTCATTCATTAGTATTGACCAACATCACATTTGGCAGTCCCATACCTGCTTAGTGAACTGGTGAACCTTCAGTTTCATTATGTATCCATGAGTTACAATATTGAGAAATATTGGCTTTTACCACTGGAAGATCTGTTACACAAGATCAAAGCACAGTTTCATTCTGATAGACTATCTATACAGGGTTGTTTTGATTTAGTTTAGCTGTTAAGGTTTCTCTTTGTCATGTGGTGCTTTTTATTTAATTATGTTTTCAGTGTATTTTTTATGACCACTCTACTGTTACAGCTAAATGTTCACAAGGTGCCAGAGCCCAGAGTGATGCCTTATAATTGTTTCTTTTGTCAACCAACAGTCAAAAACTGCTGAGGGTAATGAATTTACAAATATTTACATTTGTACTTAATTTACATATGATTTTTTTATTTTGCAAAGATTGTCCCAGCTTCTTCTAAATTACCAGTTAAAACCATAGCAGTTGTTTAATGCAAATTAGCACTGACAAGCATGTGTTTACTGCCAGCACAAAATGACACAGAGCAAAAGTAAATATGCATCGTACAGAGCTCAATTTGCCTCGTCCATTTACAGTTTATAAATAAGTTATATCCAGTCTATGGCCCCGTTTCAGTTGATTCTCTCCACAGTATGTGATCTGTGCCATGTTGTTGTCTTAGTTCAGTGCACTTGCATACAAGCTTTGGACCGTGGATCTGCAACCATATTTCTGACATGCCTACAAGCTTTGGACCGTGGATCTGCAACACGTACGACCATATTTCTGACATGCTGAAAATCCATCTGAGCAGTTGGGAGACTGTTTGGTCATAAAACAGGTGCCAGAACCCTGCTCACACTGTACGCCAAAGGAAAACTGATTGGGACGAAATTCAGCCCGACTCTAAAAGTAATCGAGCACGACTGAATCTGGTCTAAAATTGGGCTGAATCCATACAGTGTCTGCTCGGCTTAAGAAGCAACCTGAGGACCACTGGTGGATAGGCCAGTTGGGCATTATATTAATCCTGAAATCCTCTCCACGTATTTCCTTATAGCCTCTAGTTGTCACAAACCCAGACAATCTTCTCCTCCTCTTCACCAGCAGTACCACCACTACTATCACCACTGCCGTCATACCCATCACCCCAAAGGCTATCCCTGCCTTTTCTCCACTGGACATCTGATTCGATTCTGTGTTCAGCCTTTCCATTATTTCCTTGATTTCCTCTGGTTTGGCCAGTTTTCACATTTTGGTCTGCCAAAATGAAACTATATTAATGAATGCATGGTCAGGGACCACCTGCAATGTCTTCACAGACCACCAGGGGGACGTGGACCACCAGTTAAAAACCCCTGCCACAATTTGTTAGTGATGCTGCACTGTCTCAGTTTTCTAAGCTAACGTCTTAGTCATAAGTTGAAAATACGCAAGGCTTGTTTTTGTAAGTGGGCTCTTGACTGTAAGTGTGTAGTTAGATTTCTGTTTCATTCTGAGATGCCCTTTATAACACATCTATTTTTGGTCCTGTTTACTTCCACTATTGGAGGCGACAGTGGTGCGGGGGGAGCAGAGCAGTTGTCTCCCAACAGGAAGGTTGAAGGTTTGAATCTCGATGCCTGCAGTCCACATGTCGAAGTGTCCTTGGGCAAGACACTGAACCCCCCCCCGTTGCCCCCGATGGTTAGAGCCATCGGTTGAGTTGGCGCCGCCGATGGCTGCCATCGGTTCTGTACCGGAAACAAATTCCTTGTGTGTAACTTGGCCAATAAAGGTGATTATTCTGTGTGATAACCTGGTACTGCGCCACCACTGTCATTCTGACGGGCTGTTTCATTGTGACTGAGCTTCCTGTTTATTTGAACACTTTTACCTTTGTTTTGAATTCATTCCTCTGATTGTTTACCTTGACTCAAGGACCATTAAAGGATGCTGAGTTGTTTTGAATCTAGAGCTTTAAGCTGCTTTAAATAGGTGGGTAACTAAATCCACCCAGTGCTGTCCTTGAACATGGGCTAGGTTTGCCGCCATCTTTGTTATCTGCATTTACCTTGCACATCCACTTCCTGAATTCTCTCCATTGACAAAATGACCTCACAGTCAGTTCTTCTGGCATTTTAAGTTGAACTCACCTGTTATTATTCGTCATATTCCCCACTATTTTATCCTTTTACTCAGTAGAAAGAATAAAACAAGTCTTGTCCTTTACTCTGCAGCACCCAACCCTTTCTCCGTTATTACCTTGCTCTGACTACTTTTTGAAAACATGTATTAGGTGGGGGTCCATACAATAGAAAATCATTGTATTAGTAAGGTATTGCTTTATCATATTGTCTCATAACAGTATGAGATGAGCAAACTGTAAACATCAAACTGAGTTCACACCACATACAAAGACACTTGCTATGGATGCCATTAAGCGTGTTTACGATTGCAAATAATTGTGTTGGGTGTTGTGGGGGGGGGGGGGGTTCTCCAGAAGACCTCCTTTTGTTGTCAGTTGATCATAAGATTTGCCCACGTGCAGAAAACCACGCCAAGCAGGGCAGCAGATGTTCATCAATATGATAATGATAAAGAAGGAGACCCCCCAAACAGCAACAGTTTCCTAACTGGAGGATTAGCGTTTCGATTCCCGGCTTGTCCAGTCAACATGTCGAAATGTCCTTGAGCAAGACACTGAACCCCCAGTTGCTCCCGGTGATGTCACCGGTGTGTGAATGCGTGAGTGCTTGAGAGTGCGAATGGGTGAATGGCCGAATAATGTGAAAGCGCTTTGAGTGTGCTGTAAAAGCATAGAAAGTGGCTATACAAGTATGAGACCATTTACCATAATGAGAAGGATAACCTCTCATTGACTGCGGGTAAGATGGCAGCCATGTTTCCCTCAATACTGGGCAGTTTTTGTTTCATTCTGATACCCTTTATGTTTGATATTTGGCAATGATTCCAGAGTTTCAGTCTGACAGGATGAGGTTCACTGTGACCCACCCGCCCATTTGTATAACACTTTTACTTTTGTTTTGAATTCCTTTCTTTAATTGTTTTCCTTTGATTCATACTCAAGGAGCATAAAATAATGTAGCGACTTAAGGTGCGGTCAGTAGGTGGGGAACTAAATCCTGCCAGTATTGTCCTTAAACATAAGTTTGCTGCCATATTTGTTATCTGTATTTACCTTGCTTATCCCCTTCCTGATTTTTCTCTACTGACAAAATGACCCCACAGTCAGTTCCTCTGGCAGTTTTAAATTGGAATCATCTGTTATTCTGTAACTAACTTATTCATTATATTCCCCTTTATTTTATCATTTTACCTGGTGGAAAGAATAGTCTTGTCCTCTACTCTGCAGCACCTTGCCCTTTCTCCATTATTACCTTGTCTACTTTTTTTTGCTGTGGGGAAAATTGGCAGCATGTATGTAAGATGGTATTTAACATTTATGAATTAAATATTGCAGATTACTTCAGCATACACTTCAACTGTGCATTAATAAAATTAACGTTGCAACTCCAGAGCCTTTAATTTTAATGGCATTCTTCTCTTTGTAGCTTAGGTCAGCTGGCTTCAGTGGCTGGAATTGGAAAGTCAGATTTTCAACCTCTGGAAAGACCTCAGCTCTCCTCTACAATAAGACCACCTTTGGATGGTTTAGCATCATTAACTACAGGCGAGTTTGGGAATGTTCGAGCAAAGACCTCCCCTCCATCTTTGGTAAGCCTTTGCAAAACCATGTTTTGGAAATGCATGCCAGTGGCAGGTGATTGTGCTATACCTGCAGTGAGCGTTTCAGTTTGATGTTTGAATGTAACAGTTTCAAAACAACAGCAGCGAATCAACTCCAAGATGATGATGTGGAACTGTGAATGTATTAATTTGTCATAAAATGACAGACAATATTGATTTGATGCGAGTATCCACAGATGACATATTTGAGCTCACCAGACAGATTAAATGCCTGTGTACTGTCAGTTGTTAGACAAATAAACTAAATGAATGATTCTCAACATAACATCATAAAAGACAGCTTCTGTCTCTCCGCCTGTGAAGCACGACCGGTGCCTCAGTGTCTCTGTCTAGTCTGAGCAGCCATTCAAGTAACAGACTGATAAGCTTTTTCTCTCTATCAAGGCCACTGAGATCACCTCATGGTCAGCCAACACAACAATACTGAGTAAATATAAGAAGTATAGTGAATAAAATGAATACAGACATAAGCATATAATGGATTAGTACAGCTAAACCTCTGGACCTCCCACAATGTAACAGCGCATCGGATGCAGATAAGGATTAACTGTACCTAACATATAATAGCTCTATGACATGTTTGGGGATTTATATTTTATTCAACTTTTGTTTCACAGTACTCCATGAGAAGCTGTGTCCTATAATTCGACATGTTACTCGTGCTAAGACAACCAGATTTATCATGTCCTCTGTTGATTTGTTATAGTTCCCCCACTATGTTTTTAGTAGTAGTATCACTAGGCTGTATCGCATTAATAACTTGAAACCTTTTTTTTCTTTGTTGTTACAGTTTCCTTATCAATTCTTCAATTTTTGTCTTTAGGTAGGCACCGTCTTGCCTGCTCTTCCTGGTGGTCTGGCTGGCATCACAACTCCCAGACCTCTATCCTCTGTCAAGCAATATTTATCTGAAGACAGGCCACTAGATATGACCTTTAATCAGGCTGTTGGATCTGCAGGAGACCCTGGTGTAGTTGGAGAAGAGGAACTAGATCATTATTCCAAGCCTGACACTCGGCATGACTCAGGCTCCGAGCGCACTTTCCATAGCCAAAAATCCTTGGATAATGTTTCCTTCGGTAAAACTTTTCACACTGAACCAAGAAACCACAACAACAGCAACTCTCACCAGAGCAATTCTCATCATAGCAAAAGTTCCCATGGATACGGTTTCAACAACAGCCATGCTCACAGTCATGCTTCCAAAAGCAATGGGTCTCATGGGACAAGATCAAGTGTTAGTGACATAAGTGACAAAGCAGAGTCGGTGGAATCAGTATGGTCAAGGGACAGAGGACAGGGAAGGCTAGTGACAGTAGGTCAGTCAGGGTCAGAGGGGAAAGCATATCCTGGGAGGGAGACTCTGGAGCAGATCAGGTCTCTGGGCAGTCTGGAAGGACGGTCAGATAATGAGTCCTTCTGACCAGCTGACCACAGAACAATGAAAAATTCTGCACCAGTGCCTTAACCTTGCAGTTCTGTTACTACTTAAGATTGTTCTTTGGAAGACAAAATTCTTCCATCTTCAATCTCATTATTTTATTTTAGGAAGAGAGCACAAGAAATCACTTTAAAAAACTTGTTGCTTGTTGCTCAGAGGAAAATCGCAATGTAAAAGCCATTTCATACAGCACGGTGGCACAGCAGTTAGCGCTGTTGCCTCTCAGCAAGAAGGCTCTGGGTTCGAGCCCCAGGGCGTATAACTGATAGAGGATAAGAGAAAATAAAATGGGATATGGCTATCAGAATTGTACGCCAGTGTATAGAGGTGAGTCTTCATCACCTTGCAGTGTTTTGACACTGCACTGTTCCTCTTTTATGGAAGCATTAATCTTCTGATAGGCAGCATCCCGGTCACTAAACTGACTAGCCAAATATCAGAATTTATCATCAGATTAGGATAAAAGTTTTCTGGATAAGCATCCATTATAATCATTGCCTCTTATAAAACAGGTGCCTCTCTGGGGCGTTTAAGGCCGTCATTATTACATAACACAGTCTGTGCTGTAGGCCATCACATGATTGAACTGGTTCAGAGAAAATCTGAGGGTATTTACTTAGTGAAATCACCTCCCCAGTGTGCTGTCAGCAAAGGCAAATAATGAAGAAATGTGTTCAGTATACAGTATATTTGCTGTTTCATGAAACTGTACCTTTGTGTCGTAAGTGAAAGAGCAGTGAACTCCGGGGTGGTGCAGGATTTTGGACAATTCATTTACAATTTATTTTGGACAAGTAGTGTTGTCTAATTAAACTGAACTGATCAATTTCCTGGTTCCTTTTCTAACATACAGTATACAAACAGCAAGACAACACACAATTGGTGATACAGTGGCCACTATACAATGTACAAAATGTAATATAAAGGAACAGTTTAATGTGCATTTTACCTCATGCATTGTTGCCTGCTGTCTTATGTGGTCAGTTTTGCTTGATATGTGCAACTGAGACAGGACAAGGTGAAGTGTCAGTGCTTACACTCACTGTAGCCATAACCACTGTGTGTCAGTTGTAGAGGGAAAAATAAACTTTGCACATAGATTCTTCTTTGTCTGTTGATGCAATCTTATCTTTCAAGTTTATTTACTAGTAGCTACACAGTTCACATGCTGGTTTTCTTGCCAAGAGTGTACATATATTACAAATGCGGTAATGATGTGGGGATACTGTCGTTATTGCACCATTAATAAAATATCTTTTATTGATTAAGATAATGAGCAATCAATATTTCTGTTGAAGTCAGGCAATACACACATCAGTTTGCTTATCAGGCTGGTGCCAGACAGAGCTTATGTTAATAAGCTGCTGTATTTCCTCAATAACTAATGTAGTAACCTTTATGTGGTTAACCATTAGGGGTTACTAGCGAACACTGACAATACATCAGTAGGAGGTTCTGAAGCATTTACACCCAGTATCCCAAACCAAAGGGGCTCTTATTCTGGTGTTTGACACTGAAGCTTTTGCACTTTTCTGTCAAACAAACTATATACATTTTATGTGCTTGATGTATACAGTATGAAACGTATGAATTATGGATGTTGCTGTGTAATTACAAAAATAACATGACAAATTAAGACAGCACCAAATGAAGTTCTGTGAAAGGATTATTGTGTTTATTGGTCTACATTTAAGGTGACATTTATCATTTACTGCATTACAGAAATCATGCATGCATTGGACAGTGCTATGAGAGTGCTATGCTGTAAAAGTACACACTGTATAAATACAGCTAAAGTTATAATATGCAAAAATCCAGAGAAAATGCATTTTTTTTTATCTAAACATACTGTCTTCTATAATAAAAAACAGTCCCTCTAAGACCCTTTTGATCAGAACTTAACCATGAATACATTTAGGAATAACAATATGATACTGTAGCTTGCAGGTTTAAACACTGGAGAACAGAATACTCTGTAAATAAATTACAAGGCAACACAGTTTCAAAAACAACACAACCCTAAAGCTTTACATTTCATTTTCCTAACGCAAATGCAACAAACCTCATTTAATCAGACTGTACAAACAATGTTACATTTCATCACAATCTTCAACAAGCATTAAGGCAATTTTGAGTGGCATAAGTCAACAGTAAATACAGCTATAAAGGTGCTCCACTGAGGATAAAAACTGTTGATCGCAGGACTGGCTTCATTTTCTTGAGATATAAAACTGAACTATATTTAAAACTATAACATTAATATTTCCTCCCCTTTTTTAAATGCTAAAGCTGTTCCATTACAGACCATAACCTTACAAAAGTGTGGTTACATGGGTCATGGCTAGGCAAGAATGTTAGAATTGGAAAATGGCCTCCTCAAGCCCAGCAAACAAAAGGCAGATTCAGTGCCTATTCATGCATTTGTCCTGTGCTCGTCAGTATTTGCCAAGCTCACAGTGGGCAGCGATAAAGCCATTCCAATTACTGCGCTGTCCTTTTCAACCTGACCACTCCTGATTTTTTTAAAAGGGTTGCTAAATCATAGTAGGCCCACATTTTGCTTACCCAGCAATTTCTTTTGAATCAAGTACAACATTGTCATTTTAAATACAACCTTCTTCATCACTTGCAGCCTCCATTGGTGACCTTTAGTTGTTCTCTTGTGAGAGTGTGGTTTCCTAAGAAAAGGATTACAAACAGATAATGAGGTCAAGTCAACAGTCACTGAATCACACATATCTCTGGGGTCTAGAGTAAGGATTATTTAAAGTTACATCCAATTGGCTGTCCATCCCAAAGAAAAAACAACCAACAACAGTTTTTGAGAGCTATAGGTATAAGTTGACTTAAGTTCATTGTGTGCTCCCACTCATATACTCTTATCTTATCTCTTCCATTTCATGTTGCAATATAATGCAGTAACATGACTGTTATGGTCAAGGTATATTTATACAACTTCAGATTTCAGATAAGGCCACTGTTGTTGGCACGGTGGGCGAAGCAGGCTGAGGTCCTGTAGGTGCTCTTGTTTTGCATCTTTACATTTTGTGTAAAAAAACAAAACAAAACAAACTACCCTCACATGTTCATTAAATAATATTCCTTGCCAACTATAGCATCATTTCTGTTGGAATAGCAACAACTGGAAACACATTTAATGGATTAAAGTTCTATTAAATCCCAAATATTCAACTGGTGCTGCTTTAATTGTTTATATGCTGTGCATAAGGAGAGCAGGAAGACACTATAAAAACACCCCACTTCCTGCTCTTATGGCACTGTGTTTGGGGGTTGAGGATGGCTGTGTGTTTAATTAACCATTTGTAGTGATGCTGTGGGTTGTACTATTGTGCTGTGTGTGCGGTAATATGCAAGAAATTACTACATTAAGTGTTTATTAGGTGTGTACGGACGTCTTGATTTTGCTGTGTTGATACTGTATATTGACAAAGATTTGAACAAGCAAAATGTACATTTTTATACATTCATACACTTACATAAACAGATGGCTTCCATCGTAAATATGAATTATATCAATTCTCTTAAACAAGAGGTTTGAAGAATTAATCTTCATCTCTGTTCAGTTCTAGCTATCATCTACTGTATATTACTTTAGACTGTTAGTGTGCTGCACGTAATCCTATGATAAAAAAAAAAATTCTGCATTGTATATATTGTCATAATATCAGATATCTCTGTGTTTGTCTGGGTTTATCTCTGGGATTTCCCCACATTAACAGTTTTATGACATCTACTATGCATGGGTAGATCTGACTGGCCACCCCTGATAGAGTCAAAAAGTGATGCTTGTTAGTATTAATCAATCAAAAACAATGACAATGACCACTGTGCAGCAGCAATAAGTAGTGTGTGAAAGTTAGCTAAAGAAAGCACCCTGTGTGTCTCATTTTTACGCAAACAATTTGATTCTTGATTCTTAATAATGTAAAGTTCATTATTAATTTACTTTTAACATGTATTTCAAATGTGGCACCCATCACCTGAGAATTTTTGGCCACCTCATCCAAAAATGTCTAGTCCTTCCCCTGCCACTATGACTTTGCAAAGAATGGGCTTGCAAAAACAAACAAAAACAAAACTTTTTAAAAGGGTTTTTCCAAAGCATTTTGACTGAATATGTATGTTTGTATATTAAAGACTTAAAAATTCTCTTACAAATGGAGTCCTCTCGCCAAATTTGCTCCAGAAGGTCATCTTGACAGTGTCCCGGTGCCCCGTCCGCTGGTCAAAGGTCTGGCAGGTCTGGAAAGGGGGACTGTACAAGTGCAAACTGACCGCACCCTCGGTGTGGCTGACATTTTCCACACGGTGCAGGCCAATGGAGTCTAGAATGTGCACACAGGAACAGATAACATTTAGACAGTGCACTGGAATTCTGTGATGTAAGGCTCATATGCGGTTACTGACAGTGCTGTAACCAGTAACTGAGTGTTTAAGAGCCAGTTTAAAAGAATCCCACATCGCCCCTTGTGAAAATATACATATCAACAGATCAAATTGGTATAAATATTGAACTATAATTAAGAAAAGAAACAGTAAACATACAGTCTGGTTTCTTACCATTTATGTAAGCAACCTTGTTTTCCTGGAGGATTCTCTGTGACTTCTGGACCATCTCTCCTTGAGATCTGTTGTCCGGCCACTCAAACAGCGTCTCCTTCAGCTGACCCTGCAGCAGCTTCATGAAACAGTGGGAGTCTGTGTGATCATGGATGCTACTGTAAAGTGGTAAAGAACACACAAGCACACAGCATCAGAATATGTCAAGACTGAAGTCTCTTCATGACATTTGAATAAAAAAGCAAAGTTGACAGATTGTCCTGAGAAAGCAAAAAAATTAATTAAACAAATAAAATTGGGATTCAGTCCATAGGTGAGACATTCTCTGTGTTTTGGGGAGTTTGTGTTTTTAGAAGCTTTAGAGCTCTGTAGCTTTCCAAGCACGTTCCAACAGCTGTGTGTTAACCATTACTTCTACCACATCCTTATTAACGTACAGTAGTAGTAGTACAGTAAACCAGGTCAGATTATGATAAAATGTCTCAGCACTAGTCATGATCTTGAGAAACATGCCTAGACTTGACATAGCTAGAAAAACCACCTCTTCCTACAACAAACATTCATGTTTTACCACATTGCTACTGTAGTAGTGGCTATATAAGAAAAGCTTCACATTCCTAATACTAGCACATCCTCACAGCAGCAGTGACATGGTAAAATAAATGTCCTGTGTCATGTGAAAAACAGCTCCTCTGATTCTTGCCATATAAGAGATAATCATATAAAGACCCATCAAACAGCTTTGCAGCACATGTGTAAATTACAAAACCACGTCATACTTTAATGAATCGCTTCTGTTTCTACTAACTTCAGTGAATATCAGGTGTTCAGGCAAGATTTGCTGACACAGTAGGTCATGTGACAGCTATCATCAAATAATTATTTGCACAACCTTTCTGTCAGCCTGGAGAACATTGGACTCTCTTATCTTTAATAACTAATACACTAATTGGCAAAGAAAGTCACTTGAACAGGGGAATGACAGTGTTAATCAATCCCATTTTATTGATACAAATGTCGTGCCAATTTTGTCATGCTATTTGTTCTTGTAGAAGCATCTCACCTGCCATGACCTTCACCCCAGCATAGAATTAGGAGATTGAACTTCCCATTCCCCTCATCCACCAAGTTCCTTGTGTACCTGTAACAGAGGACAGTTGGTTGAATGAACAGGGAGACGTGTGTATCCTTGCCTGTGTTACAATGAAGGCTGAAAGGTTTCAGAGGAGTCTCAAGGAGGTGAAGCTTTTGTCATTCAAGATACTGGATTTGGAAAATGAAAACAAAAAGTTGAGATGAAACAAACCAGTAAGTTATAGACATGCTCTGCTTTACATAATTACTTTCAATAGTATTGATTTATATGTGACAAAATATGGCAAATCAATTTTCATTTACAGGCTAATTCCAATCACCACCGGTTGTACAGCTTGCAGTGTTACTTATTCTAAACGTTCATGGGATACAGAGTAATTTTATTTTACAAGTGTCAAAGCAAATTATTTGCCCTCTGGACTCCACTAGACAGATAACAAGGGGCCTTAAAGGGTTTTGTTCGGTTTATGTCTATACAGAAAATCCGCTACCTTCCCCCTACAAGTCAAAGGCCAGCCTGCGTCCTTGCTCGGTCTGCAAACATTGCCCACAAGCTTTCCTGCTCCGTGCGTCCAAACATTTTCAAGGCAGTTGCAGCTTCATGACGGGCAAAAGTCACATCACCAGACTTCATCTTCACAGAAATGAGCGGGTGTGTATCCGTTCTCGGTGCTGATTGGACGGCCCGCTCACCCTCCCTTCACTACTCCTCCACACAGCCGAGATAATCTATAAGAATAAACTGTTTTCTATGTGGTTATCAGCTCCTTGTAGCTATCGGGGCGTTTATAAATAGTCTGCATTGATTAAAAAAAATATGCAAACAAGTCGATTATTGTTCTTTTATTCAAACAAGCTGCGACAGAAGCTATTCTCCAAATAGATCATCAAAAATACGAACAATGCTTATTAAAGAATATAGCCTATATATTAATAACTGATGACTGCATTTGAGAGTTTGCAGACTTTAAAGATAACCTATCCTAAAGCTATTGTATTCACCACGCATGTAGCTCCCTAGAGCAACCACTGAAGTACCTTTTACAATAAAATATAAAAGCATCAGACATAAGATACAAACACAATAAAGAAACGTGTATGAACAGGTACAACTGGAACTACAGGTCACAAAAGGACACAATAGTGCATCAACAGAATAAATGAACACTATCCGATTAGTTACTTGGTCGTGAATAACAACAGGATTCTGAAACAAACAGTTTTTACCTGTACTGGTCAAACTTTGCATATGTCTTCCACTCCTGAGGCTTGCTCTCATATGATTCCATTATATTTTGGACCTCCTCAACATTGATGCAGTCACTCTCGAAAATCTTATGCAGGATTTTTATCAGGTCATCCAGAGTTTCTGGCTTCACCACCTCGGTTTGCTCCATCGTTGTGACTTCTCTACGAGCCTGCTTTCCAGATGAACTTAACTGTCTTAAAGCAACAAGTTTCTCTCCAAGCTTCAAACTCTCGCCTTTTATGTGCTGGCGCGGGAGCCCAATTTGGAGTTCGATGGACTGTACCATTATGGAAAAAGGTGAACGCCCAGAGCCTAGGCACATTTAAATACACTTTATAGTTAGCTAACGCATAATGAAATATTGTGGAAATTTGAGGCTGTACTTTTACTACACATTCTTTACATTGATTACATTTTCTAATCTCCATTTTTAAACAAAAAAAGATCATTCATCTCACACATCAAGAACTTGGACTGATCCTGAGTCCAATTCCACCACGTTGTCAAAAACCTTCCTTTGTCTCAGTTTCATACTGATGCATTCTTCCAACAATATCTGTCCCGTTTCACTTTGTGGCCCCTCTCCTCAGGAGCTCCGTCATCACCACCGTCCGAGGCGTGTGCACAGCAGAGGCTCACAGACAAGAAGGGATGGAAAGGAAAACAGCAGCCTTCCGAAATAGTTTTGGAAACACAAGATCTTGTTTACTGGTGTATAAAGTGTTTCATAATCACCGTTGTTTTAGTATAAAACCAAGAGACTGTGACTCTGCATTATTAAGGAATACTGTAGATGCACAAATTAGTAATCTGTAGTCTTAATGAGAACTTATTAGACAGTGAAAAATTAGTCAAAGAAGTTAAACTGATTATTAACAAAATATGTAGAAGTAGAAAAATGAAAGGGAAGCTAGAAAATACTTGCCCATAATTTGACGATAGATTATGTGATAAAGATACACTGATCTTGTGGATGTGAAAATGACTTGATTAATTATAATTATTCAATTACATGAATATGTCCCCTATTGAAATTAAATAAATAAGTGCAGATGGCCCATTGTCAGCAATATAAGTAGATCTCACTGACCAATGTATCCATCTACTCCTGGGACTAAAGACTAAACTATAACTGTGTTCTGTATCTATCTGAAATGTGGAGTCTCACAACATAGTACAAGTTCACTCCTCAACCTAAACAGGAGGCAAACTGAGTAAATGTTTTGATGTACCACCTGACAGCACATGAATGCATGTAGAAGTAAAAAACAACTCCGTGAAATGTTAAATTAGACACAGACAGACTAGTCAGGCTGATGGTAAGAAGCTCCTCTTCATGTTTTCCTCCACATCTTCTTAATGGGATGTTTTTGGAGCTGGTTATCACAGTCCAGCTTTCACAACTAAATCACTTATCAATCTCATAAAAGCAGTGCAATTCGGTGATGCATGTGTTGGCCTTTAATACAGGAAATTTTTTGGAGTGCTCCAGCATGTGTCATTGTCTAAAAAAGCCTGCTTTGGCTGAGGACGATATTCAGACTTTCATGTTTGCTGACAACATAAAAAGCAGATAATGTTCTTTGTATTAGAGGAGATGCCAAGTTATCCTCTGAGCTGCCACATCATCAAAACCAGACGCACTCTGGATCCACCTTGTGGCTGAAACTTAAACTGTCTTTTCCCAGCCAATGTTGTACCAGTGATCACTGGTACAACACTATAAGTGGAAAATAAATAAATAAAAGTAAATAAATAATTAAACGAGTTAACTGGTTGTATAGCTTCACTAAAAGAAAAAAGATTATGTGACATTTATGTGGCTGGAAAAAAGGCCAAGGTTACATGTGCTAATCATTCAGTCTGTGTGCCAACAAAATCACATTTCATATCACCATCCAGAAATTTCCAAGCATTGTAAATGTAAAATAAAATCAAGATTATGCTACAGTGTAAACTGCTGATATCCCCTCAAAAAAAGTGTTAATTTTAATTGTTTTAGTATATGTTTTGTTTTATCTGCTCATGCTAAAAACAAAATAATGATAAGGATGGGGTTTACGCCACCGTGTGGATGACCCGGGTATTACTTTATTCATTTTTACAGGTGGTCCCTGCGCGGACGAGAGAGTTTGGACCATCGCGGCTGCTGTAGCTGCAGGAGGAGGAGAGCATGACTGGTCCTTCGACGTGGAATATTTCCGCAAAGCGATGATGGAGGTGTAGCAGCAGAGTGGGAATCAACACTATCGCCTTTTCACTCGTAAACCGAGCCGGGATTTAGCCCTGAATCCCAGTCGGATCTGGGTTCACGGGAGTTGACGGACAACAGTCTTTTCATAGACTGATCCCTTTCTGTTCCCCCGCGTCCCTCTTTTCAGCTACAATCATGATAAAAGCCATTTTAATATTCAACAACCATGGGAAACCAAGGCTTTCTAAATTCTACGAGCATTATGTGAGTAATATGATTGTGTTTCTTGTTGTTTCTGTCCATATTTTTACGGTTTATTTAGGTTTGTTTGTATGGTTGATAGGCTAAGATGAAGAATCGGAACTCTCAAGCCGTGGCTGTTAAGATAATTAGTTTCATCATGCAATCTTTAGAGGACATAATATTAATGCAAACTGACTGAACGAGAAGGCGTGAGTACTTTACAACCGCTCCGTGGTGTCTCAAACTGATCCCGGTGTATAAGGTGTCGGTGTGAACCACGCCGTCCTTTTCTCATATGAATAATTGAACGTGTGCAAGCCGAAGCGAGGCTGTCACACGCCTACCCAGCCTGTATGAACTGGACTGTTCCCAGTTTTAGCTCTCGTCAAATCCAACTGTAGCGATGAACACGGCGAGCAGGCAGTGAGTTCGCAGTGTTTGTGTCACATGACTTCCGTAAGGCCCTTGTGATTGACTCGTGCTCACTCCCAGTATTTCCACACAAACGGTCCAGTTAGCTTTATTGTCATTCATTTCGAGTGGCATTGCTCGCTTTAGGCCCAAAACTACTGTGTCAGAAAACCCCCAGGTTTGACAGATTATATATTATCCTCTGCTGCACAAGCTGTGTTGGCTTGCTTTATTAATTGGATTTATTTGTCAAGGTTGCCTGCCTTCTCCTGTCTCCAGTGGCATAGACAGTGCCCTGACCCAGTCAACTAAATTAATGAAATCTCTACTATATTAACTGATTAGTCAATTGACTGGAAACTATTTGTATGAACACTTTGTTTTCAAATTGGAGGCACTGGCTTCTCAAATGTGAAGATTAGTTGGTTTCCCTTGTGCTGTATGAAGTAAAATTAATACCTCTGCAGGGCTACAACTAACAGTTACATTCATTATCAATTAATCTAATCAATTGCTCTATAGAGTGTCAGAAAACTATCCACTGATATATCCCAGAGCCCAAGAGACAAAAATATTTAGATTACTATTTAGTACCGCAACTAGCTGTTGTTTTCATTATCAATGATTTTGATTATTATTTTGTTCATTAAATGTTCAGTCTATAAAAGACCATGATGGTCTTCAAATGTCTTGTGTGTCCCAGCTGTATAAAACCCAGATGTACAGTTTCATATGATATAAAACAGAGAAAACCTGATGGTTTGCTGTTTGTCTGTGTTTTCTCTTTTCTCACTGATCAAGATATCCAAGAAAAAAAAAAAGATTAACCAGTAATGAAGGTAGAACTCCCCAGTATCCAACATACTCTGTGTTGGATAATGTCTTCATTGAGATAGACATGGATGCATTTGTATTTCAGGAGGATGAATCGAAACTGATCGGATTATAAGCAGGCTATGTGTATGTAGACACCATCTGTTATATTAAAAGCTGAGGTGTCGGCTCTCTGGCTGGCAGGATGTAATATTTCACACTTACTAGCTGTGAACACAGGCATTTGCGTTCAGTTTATTTAAGTAGTTTGCTGTTAAGTTTGGACTTTAGTTTGGCATTTGGGGTTGTGCGAACAATATAATAGCTGCACATCACAAGACTTTTGCCATGATTTTGATTGTCGAGGTTTGACTGAAAACCTCAGACTCTCTTAATTGAGTGCAAACATGTCCAGAGGGTATTTAAAGTTTTTAGCAGAAGTTCATCTATTAGATGAGTCTTCCTTTGGTTTAGCTTGGACAACGAAAGCGCTACCTCTGTTGCCTGCACTATTGTATGTTTACATAAGACAGTGGTTAATATATAAGTCCTGCTCTCCCACTCACAACCGAGAAAGCGAACAGTGAGGGGGAACTGTTAATTTATCTGCCAACTCTCCAGTGAAATGGCTCATTGGAAGCACTTACTGTACAGTAAGTGCACAAGCTACACCTTCTCTACCATCTCTTCTTTGTTTAACAGCCTTTGTTTCCTCGTTCATCTTGCAGACTGAAGACACAGAGCAACAGATCATCAGAGAAACCTTCCACCTGGTCTCCAAAAGAGATGAGAATGTCTGTAATTTTCTGGAAGGTGGCATGTAAGTTATGAGGTGCATTAGCAAGTGGCTGTGTCTAAATGCTAATGAACACCAGGTTTTAACATAGTGGAAGTAAATTATTAGATCGTTGACTCTGATGCAGTGTCACAGGAATCCATTTCACACTATAAAGAAAAGCTCAGAGGGCTTTATGAATGACAGCTGATAGTAGCAGGGTTAGTTTGAAGTTCATTTATCATTCATGAATGGGGAACAAGGTGTCGTTTTACTTTAGAAAACACCATTTGTACTGGCTTGAGTGCTTTTCTCTTCTATGCCTGCTCTAAATTCTGTAACACTAAAGCCAAATGGTTATAAAAAATATTATATATGAACTTGAATCAACAACCAGGGTTTACAAACTGTTTCAAGATCTCTTAATTCACAATAATTTACAACCAATTACACATGACTGGGGGGATTAGAGCATTTCCTGTGGCTTAAGTTACTTGTGTCTGTTTAACACACTCACTGAAGTCTTTTCTAACCCATTCTCAGATTGGTTACTGGGTTAGATGTACTGTCCTCTCTGTCTTTTTGTGTTACTTTATCTTATATCTGTACACGTGTTGCCTCATGGCTGAAAACATCCTGTTGTTTCTCCAGCTGTTTCATTCTTCTCTGTGTCAGGGCACGTTTACGGCATGTTAATCATGGTCAGGGTAGAGTGCAGTTTTCTCTCTGTGTGTAAACGCCTTTTGAATTAAACCTTTTGGATTTTGGTCTTATAGAAATGTTAAGGATTCAGTGATTGATCTCATTGTTTCAGGTGTTTGCATATGGGGAATATATGAACTGTACTGCTTGTTCCCTCTTGTGTCAGGCTGATCGGAGGATCAGACTACAAGCTGATCTACAGACACTACGCCACATTGTACTTTGTATTTTGTGTGGATTCCTCAGAGAGTGAACTAGGAATTTTAGACTTAATCCAGGTAAAAGTATCTATTTCCTTATTTGACAGCATACTGTGTGCAGCCTCCTTGAGCTGTATTTCTGTTGCATTCTGTTTTATGAATGTAGTTCCTTCCACTTTTAGGTATTTGTGGAAACACTGGACAAATGCTTTGAGAATGTCTGTGAGCTCGACTTAATTTTCCATGTAGACAAGGTAGGAAGTACTTTGGAATATGCTTGCCTTTATGTGATGCAATATATTTGTATTACTGCTTGATTAACTGCAAAAATGCTTATTTAGCATTTACAGTATATACAATTTATGAGATTTCTAACACACTATAAAGTTGTAAGCAGATGTAAGGTTATTAATGTATTTCTCAACAACCTGTGAACACCTGTAAATGGAAACTGGTGTACAAACGCATAATGAATGTTAGTATAGTAAAGCACAGTAGTAATAATATAAAATGTCTTCTACTCTACATTAATAAACACTTAAAAATGTCCTTATAGGCACTTAAAGCTACATTACAACTACATTATAGTGTGTTATAAACCATTTACTAAACTCAATTCACTGTCTTTTTTTCTCAGGTCCACAACATTCTGGCAGAGATGGTAATGGGCGGGATGGTTCTGGAGACCAACATGAATGAAATCATCATGCAGGTGGATGCTCAGAACAAGATGGAGAAGTCCGAGGTAAGCCTGATCCTGACTGTCCACTGTATGCATAAATTGATTCTGCCTCCATACTCTGAGGTATTGTGTACAGTATGCAGGCATGTGTGTATGCTGCACCCCGCATGCTTCTCTCCAGTGACCCTGTGGATGCTCCCTACCTACTCTTGAGTGTTTGTGCTCTTTTTTAAATTTTTTTTTATGGCCTCTCCTCTTGCTGCTGCACTGCTCTCAACGCAGATCAAGACTCGACATATTCTCTCCTGTATCCGTCAATATAAAATACAGTATCACAGTCATCACTTTTGTCACTACTATGCAGACTTAACTGTATCATTGTCAAGTGCATTTCCAGAATCTGTGACCAGTGAATCTCCCATATCACCTAAATTTCACATAAAGTAAAGAAAGTGGGTTGGTTTTAGCCTGTTTTTATGTTTAAAATAGAGAATGTGAGTTTTTTTACACTGTCCATGTTCAAGTAGCTGCTTTCCAAATGTGCTTTGTAACATCTATATGCTGTGTCCTTGTGTAGATATTTTCTCTATGCAAGGACATTGCTTTGTTTTCCATGCAGCTTCTGCTAGCAGATAAACATTCATTTACTTTTAGAAAGTCAGACAGACACCCAGAGACAATTGTATGAAATCATTTCTGTTTTGCACAATGTGTATTTTAGCTGTTAATAGTCTTAAACCTAACTGCACTAATGATTTGGCTGAGGTCATGTTTGTGGGGAGCCATTTTTATTTTTGCCCTGAGAAGCAAAGTCAAAAAGTTTAACAAATGTGTTGTATTTTGTTGCATACATGACAAAGTAAATGGTTACACTGTCAGGTTTTTAACTGGCTGGAAACATTTGTGTGATCTAACTTTAAAATTCGAAAAGTTTTAATGTTAACAAAGTTCACCTTTTCTAATACTCTGAGCTACGTTGTGTGATTTTAACCAGACAGAATCCTTGTTCCTGTCCAATTGATGTTCTGTAAGCAGAGTCTTTTACTGTTCTACGGTCACCAGGGCTGCTCCGTCTCCTCCCTCTTGGACCTAACCTAGACCACAGCACATGCACACTAATTCAAAATGACAGTCCATTTATAGGGCTGTGTCTGGGGAACAAGAAAGACCTGTTCTACGTCCAAACTGGCATGGATTCATAAAGTGGCATTCGTATTTCTTCACTAAAGTGATACTTCTCTATATTTTATTCTCACTTCTACCCAGTAGCTTTTGGAATAGAAATAATTATGGGACTGGCTTAAGATTGCTTTTGTGCTTTCAGATGTGGTCTATGATAGGTCCTATCACTTTTTTTCTGTGGAGATAAACTGTAATTACTTTAATCTGCTTTAACATTCCGCCTTCCCTCTTTTTTCCTGACCCTGTCTAGTTCTTTCCATTCTTTTCTCTCTTTACAGACGTTTATCTTTCAGTCTACCAGGCAGGACAGGTAGACACAGGTACTGCTAAATTTACAACCAAGTGCTGTAACCTTAACTGAAGTTTACTCCCCCTCAGCCTCTCCATGCGGCCCACCATTTAATATTAAACTGACCTCACTAACATATTCAAGGAATCTTTCATGGCAGACCCAAAAATGTTGCCATTTCTCTCCTAAACTACTTAAACTCGATGTTCGTGGGTGGTCATAATAATAGAAACACCTGACAGTATAATGCAGTTCAGTATAACTGCTTGTGATCATTGTAATGAGGCTTTGTTGTTGTGAATAGAGGCAGTGATTCAGCTCTATGAGCTATGGTTTGAGTCTGTAGCTTGTGGTGGTGCACTATATGTGCTGTAGTTTAAAGAAATGCAACTCTAACAGGTGAGACTGGCTACAGGTACTTTTGTATCTCTTGCTCTCGTTTTTTTTAAATTTTTGAATATTCTTAAACTGGCTCGAATGTTTGTTTTTTTTTGTTTGTTTTTTTAACTTTCTGGGTTTTCCATCACAGCTTCAAAACACATTTTAAACAAAAAAGTTAATTATTTTATCAGATTTGTCTTTTAAGTGTGAGATTTTTTTTATGATCTAAAATGTGAAGTGTGTTAAAGGACAAAATTTAGAGAAGTACTTTCATTCGCTGTCTTGCCGAGAGTTTGTTGAAAAGATTGATCCCACTCATGTCTGTACGATAAATATATAACTGGAGTGAGCATCTGATTAGCGTAACTTAGAATAAAGACTGGAAACGGGGTAAAAACATCGAGCCTGGCTCTGTTAAACAAATGTACCAAACAGTATCTAAAGCTCGTTAAAAACAGACTTAATCTCATGTTTGTAACTTGTATGAAAGCCAAAGTATAACTGCAACAGTAGTGGGTTTTGTGCTTGATTATACCGTATATTGTCCAACGAAGAGCTCAGAAAATTACTAGCCCCAGTCAAGAAATAGTCTGGCCCCCTTAAGGCTGGGAATTGTTGTTTTTATGGTTTAGATATTTGTTTAGATCAATCAGCTAGATACAATAGGTACAGTATTTAGTGAGCTTTAGGGATCATTAAACTTCATACTTTCAAGTATTTATGCTAAGACAAGCTAACCGGCTGCTGGCTCAAGCTGCATATTTACAGTTTAGACATGAGTCTTATTGATCTTCTCATCTAACTGTTGTAACGTTGAACTGTTTGCTTTAGGTCTCCTCCTGTAAACAATGTATAGCTTGTCCTAAACCATCAGTGAACCCTGTGAAACCTTTTTGCCAGAGACTAAGTACTGTTTGAGCTCTCTTTTAAAACTTAACACTTTACATAGACCAGAGAATCAAACCATAGTTGGATGTTACACAGCTGGTGTTACTATTTCTGTACATTACACACCCAGTATGTCAGTAAAAAGCCCATTATAATGGGTTACACGGTAGGTTTCCAAGCAACCCGATGTGAGCTAAAAAATATCTCAAGCCTGACTCCTGAATACTGAGCCCATGTGCTGGTTCAGCATTCCTCTCTGTTACCACCACGGTCATTGTTCCATCTAACACAAGTCTCCTTGGTTCTCGGCAGAGGGAGGAATACCCATAAGACAAACGGTCCACTGAAATAACCTTGGTGAAAATAAGTGGACCAGATAAATCTGCATTCCAGACGTACTTTGTGTCATATCACTAAATGATTTATGAGGCTATTTATTTGAATGTGTTCCTTAGTGAGGCAATGAATGTTCTGGTCTGTTTTGGTCATTTTTGGGTCTGCCTGCTAAAGATTCAATCTGGGGATCTCTAACTGCAGTGATTCTCAAATGTTTGCTCACATTTGAGATGATAATGTAAACTCATTCACTCTCCACAAATGTGTTTAATTGTTCTAAAAGGCAGACTTAGCTTGATACTTTTCTTAAAAATGCCAAATTGCTCTTAAACGGTTTCACATTGAGACTCATTGTGTTAGAGTGACGTGTCTTTTTTGTCCTTGAGAATAGATCTCCCATCGTGGTTTACAACCTCCTCATGTCACTGTAGTTAACACTATAGATGAGTAAATATTACAGTATTCTCATTCACAAATATATATTTAGATAGCAAAATGTTAGCTGCAGTCATGTGTACTCTTTCCAGAAGTAATCTAACCCACTAGAGGTACAGTATCACATGTATTTTTATGGCTGAAGCTTCTCTTATGTTTACATGTTTTTTTTTTATTATTTGATGCACACATTCTATAAATATCTATCTATCCAAACATCATTTTGTCTTCATATCCAAATCCATTTTTTTCTGCTGTTCCCAATTCTCTCCCTGCATTTTTACTCTATTGGTCCTCAAGAGTCCGGTGGGCAATGCTTCCTTTTGTCCATTTGATGAATGTTCAGTACTGCTCAGTACATCAAACTTAGTGAATGGTCTAGTATGCTCTCACACTTGATTCATAATTGGCTCTGGTTGTGATGTAAATCATTATAGAACCAAATAATGCATGTGCATATGAAGCTATGAAGGCATCTGAATGTACATTTGCACATGTTGTCTGTCCTAGTTAGTGCTTTTGCATTTTGTCAGCACTTGACTGTTTCTTGTCTAGTACTCGCAGTGTGTGTGTCCAGTGTTCACTGTTCAATGTGTGTCATGTATAGTATGTTTTTGGATTTACTGATTTGTATCTTATCAAACCTCCCTGTGTGTGTTTTGTATGTGTCTGTGTGTGTGTGTACAGGCCGGTATTGCAGGAGCCCCTGCTCGTGCTGTATCAGCTGTAAAGAACATGAACCTCCCGGAAATGCCCAGAAACATCAACATTGGTGACATCAGCATAAAAGTGCCAAATTTACCCTCCTTCAAATAGTGGCAGTGATATACTTGAGCCTGCAGATGTTAGCTAATGTTCACCGTGATGCAATCTGTTTACCAAAACCTCAAATTACTGAAGTATATCAAAACTATACATCTTGAAGGTTCTGTTTGAGTTGACACTTCTGGTTCTGGTGTTCTTTCTTTGTTTTTCCTAATAAAGAAAATGATGTTTTACATGTTTGTTTTCTGTTGGAAGGAAAAATGAAGTATTTATTTATCAGTGGTACATTCCTTCCTTCGCTGGAGGTCGGCCCTTGACATTCAGCCGCTATGGTACAGATCTGTGTCCGGTTAGAACTGAAATAATTTCACTTACTCAGGCATTTACTTGAAAGAGAAAGTGTTGACAGGTAGTCAGGTTTTATTTGTTAAGTTATTCCAGGCTAGAGAGGTCAGTCACTGAAGGAAAGTAAATGGAATCATTTCAAATATCAAATTGGAGCAGATATGATACAGTATTTAAAGTTATATCTTGGTTGTAAAATCTGTGCAAACAATACAAATATTATTCTCTTGCAGATATGTTGTCTGAGAGAAATAATGATATAAATGCTGAAATTAGTTTTTCTTTTTTGTATGCAAAATTCTTTTTTTAATGATTTGTCATTAAATACTCTTAATTTTAATCTGTGCATGATGTCTTTTTCCAGCATAATAAATGTTAAAACTCAGCCTGTGTGTTTGTTTTATTTCATTACTGTTGTTATATTGAAAATATGTTTGGTATAGTACATTAGACAAAATGTTCTTACTGTAGGTGCAGCATCTAATTGCCTTGTACTTGGAGATGTTCCACATAAAACATCTTGTTTAACGATACTGCATGTGGCAGGTAAGGCTACTGCAGGTAATCATTGTAGGTGGTATAGTAAATTGTACAACTTAGCTAAAGGACCCTTTATAAAGCATTTATAAGATTTAAATGATATTTATCTTTGCACTAGCTAGGCTAGTATAGCCAGTAAAATGCAGTATTCTCCTTGTTAAAAACTAATTCAAGCTAACGTCTTTATAATTAAAGGGATTTTCTGGCGCGTATTTTATTTCCCTCTTAACGGTTATTTTTAAAGATTGGCAGAAAGGATGCAAGGACCAAAACAGATGCACATGTGTTGCTGGTTAGACAAGGAGTAGATGTCACCATCCTTTTTATTTTTTCATTCTTTTTGAACACGTGATTTAGTTGTGTGGAATGTATGAAGTAGTCTAAAAAACACTTCTATCAATTTTATGATTTCAATGTATTTAAAGGGCAAAGTCAATACCCCTTTCCAAGGAATATTTTCTACAACACCATCTCAGTTTAGAAGCTTCTGCTTTTGGGCATTTCTTGCATGGTTTGTCCAAAAGCTTTTTCCGTAGTGACTGTTGTACTAAATACTTTTAGACAGTCATTTTGCACCATTTCAACGCAAACTACGTCTTAAAGAAATCCGTTGTACGGTCACACTTGCGGGAGAGTAAAATTTTTATTGATACTAATACATCAGCGAAATATGTTAACTTCGTTTTATTGCAGTTGATTGAGTTTTCTTCTCCAGCCTGCGCATTTCTGACGCAGCTTTGATTATCACTTGAGCTGTCTTGTGACCACAGGAAGGAGGAATTAAAGCGGTGTGATGCTGTTGCTGCAGCTACTTCTTAATTTTTTATTTGCAAAAAGCAATAGACAACAATGACCTCTATTATAAGAGAAACACAGAGGTGAGCATCGTTTTTTTTCTCAATTCAGAGACAGAATCCGACCATTAGCTAACGTTAAGCTACCTGTATCTAATTCAGAGACACGAAGGCATCCTATATGTGATTTAATGCTCAAATGGACATTAGCTAACAAACCTGGAAATGACCTATATCACTGCTGTCATGATTAAAGTCTTTATCAAGTTTCGTTCTCAATTTTGGGGCATACATTTTACTTAAGCAGCCCTCCCATTTTCTTCTAATTCGCTTTAAACAATGGACAGGAGATGAGTAGTTATACTTCAGCTGCTCAAGCTTTACTAATTATTCAGTTAGTCGCAGATTCATCAATGTAATCTTCCAGCTCACACAAAAGCCACCCTTCTCCAGCCACTGCTTTCTAGTTTGTCTGTGTTCTCTTTATCAGTATACCTTTCAGTATGTCTTTGCTCTTTTCCAGTTTTGTTTGAGTCTGCCACATTCTCACCTTGTTTATGGACTCTGGTTAGTTCCCCTCCCCCTCCATGTTAGTTGTCTTATAGTGCCTGTTTGCAGTTTCTGTGTTCTGCTTTATGGTTCTTTACCTTTGTTGCTTTATTGTTGGTGGCCTCAGGTTTGAGCTGGACTCCATTTGTGCATTATTATGTTACCTTGACTTGGAGTCTAGTTCTGTTTAGGTTGGATCAGCATTTTTCTTACCTTCTCTAAATCCTAGTTTGTTCATTCAGTTGTTGTGTGGGGTCTGCATTTGGGTCCCCAAGGTTCAATTTCAAGTGTTCTGTTTATTAGTAGTGTTACATACAAATAGGTGACAAGTTTAAGGAAAACCCAACATGGTGTCTTAGCTGGGTGTTGGGCCGCTAGAACGGCTTCAATGCTCCTTGGCGTTGATTCTTTTAAGTCTCTGGACTCTACTGGAGGGGTAAACCCCATTTTTCCAAAAGTTATTCCCTCATTTGGTGTCTAGATGGTGGTGAAGACTCTGCCTAGCATGTCTCTCTAGAATCTCCTACAGGTTTTTAGCTGGGTTGAAATCTGGAGACTGAAGGTTATAGCATATGATTCGCATCATTTTCATACTCATGAAGCTGTTCAGTGACCCCCTTGTGCTCTATGGACAGGGGTGTTGTCCTCTTGGAAGAGACCAGTCATGTGTTCAGGTTTTGCCTTCAAGTTGTCACCTGCCTGTAGGTGTTTACCGTCTTTCAGTCATTATGCAAAAATGAGAGAAGAAAACGTGTCGGAGGCACAAACTGGACCTAAAATGCACTGTTCTTTAATGCTAGTTGTAAGCCCAGTTCTACTTAAGTGTTTGTAGTAGCACCCCTTGATTTGAGTGACGTTTCAAATACTTTCTTTTGCGTGTCTTAACCTTGTGGGGTTTAATGCACATACAGTTAGTCCTTATAGGCACTTAAAGCTGTGTGTGTATAGCATATTTTGCAGGATGTTTGTCATAAACTCGATACAGCTTTATTCATGCACATCTTTAGGTTTTTGTGGACTTTACAGTACTCGTGCTCCTGTTTGCCCTGTGTAGTCTATTGCAAGTGATAAGCACATTTTGCTGCATGTTATTGCTTTATTTCTAGTGTGTAGTTTTGAAATATGACATCATACTTAACAAACTAAAGATTTTAGTGCTTTTTACACTGCTCTCATTAAGACTCTCAATTCTTCTTTCCAAACAGCATAAAAGAAGCCGTGACTCACATCAACACGATTGATGTGATCAAGTTCTCCAGACTGATCTCTCGCATCATACAAAAGCTTCATCTGAAGGTGCAGAGACTTCACAGTGTTATCCCTGCCAAAGACAAGAGGCTTTTGAGGCTTCTGCAGCAAAGCTCCAGTGCCAGACAGAGCAGTGCATGCATAATGACTTTTACTGGTGTTGGAGAATTAATAATAAATCAGTAAGACTTGGCTCTCATGAGTGTGTGCACAGGCCCGGCCCAGTTGATCATGTCTTAGTTGGCTGTCAGAAGGTGCCAGCCATTCACTGCAAAAATAATTTGTCTAATTCTTTTTCTTTCTTTTTTTTTGGTCCTGTTAAGAGAACATAATTCACCTTTTGTTTAATACTAGACGAGTAATTTAGACATGTTTAAAGCTAGGAAAGCACAGGTTTAGGAGTAGTCTGTTTTCCCTAGGGATTCTACAGGTTTGAAGGGAACTGAATTCACTTTCTTCAAATGTGTTAGACTTAGTGAAGTCTAACATTTTCTCTTGCCTGCTCTGGGCAGTAATGTTAATGTTTTAAATGATAGGCTGTCGGATGTCACCATAAACTGGTGTTTCAGTGGATTGGGCTGCAGGTGATTGCTCACTCGGTACCATGAGAACTCTAGCAAACACTGTCACTATTGCTAGGAAGCTCAACTCATGATGTATAATTATTAGCAAAAATGTGTGTGAGCTAGAATGAATATTCATTTAACAGTTTAATCCGTCCTTTTTCTGCAGCCTATAGGAGCTTGTTGTGTTAATATACTGAATAAGGAATTTGTTGTGCTGCTGGGAAGTAAATGTAAAATGTGATAATTTAAAAAACTGGAAGATTCATTAAATCTGACACCCTCCTGAATCAGCAAAATCTAGCTAGAATATGCAAGTCTGTGTCACAGCAAGTTTTGCTTTACTGTATTAATGTCTCTTTCAAAATATTTTTGTAATGTTTTAATAGAAGCTGTATGACCTTGTTTAGGGTAGGGTAAGGCTTTATTGATCCCACAATGGGGGAATTCCAGTGCTCCAGCAGCATTAGAGAGCAAACAAAACACCACAAGAACAACAAAACACCATAGGGACTTTGGAGAATTAAAGTGATTTGCTTCTGATTTTTGTTGATAGAACCTTAAAGTTTTATCAAAATTCTTGATTTCAAAGCACATTGTATTTTCATTCTTTTTATGCTGCAAGTTATTAAACTTGTATGTTGCTTGTGAATACAAATGCAGGCTCTTACTTGTGAAACTCCCTTAATTGCGTTAGTTGTGTTATATGTCAGATTAAATTGAATTTGAATGGTTCTCCATATGTTGACACATTTGTCTTATTTTGCAGTTCTTGAAATTGATTTCTTCAAGGATTAACCTAGTAAATGTAAGTTTTTCTTTACAGGGTGAGCGGACATTCAGTGAAGAGGAGGAACAGAAACTTCAGGCTGCCCTCTCTTTGGATAAACAGGCTCTCAGTCTAGTCCTGGAAACATCAGCTTTCATACTAGAGCAGGTGAGGGGTATCTGACACCATTGTTGTTTATGACAACATTTGCTATGTTGTGCAAAATGCTTAATCAAGCATATTCAGTGATTTTAAGGGGCCAGCATTGTGTTAGATGTAATGGTCATTCATAACTAAGGCACTGAAGATTCTTTCAGTGGGTAATAAGGCGACTTTTACCTACTCAGGAATGTTTCAATGCAGGCAGAGACCTCTTCATTTCACTTGCTATACTAAATGACCATGCAATGTCACTATCTACAGTAGCTGCTCCAAGAACAATTAATAAAAGATTCTCCTAGGAGTTTGACAACAAAAGATGCAGTATACAAGTGTGCGCATCACCTTGCCTGCTCTGTCATTTAAATTGTAGAAATTCTAAGGACAGGTTTGCAATAACTATGTAATGGAATCTAAGAGCCTTGTGTCTGTAGCTGTTGTGCCTGTCAGTGTGGGTCATATTGTGAGGCAGTTTCTCCAGCAGGTGTCACTGTTGTATGAGTATTTTGATGAATGCCGGGTGTAAACTGGAATAGGAAAAGGGGTGCTATAAAGCATAGCTAATGTGTTTGTTATAGTGTACCTTGTATCTCCTCTGTAGGCAGTGTATCACAACGTGAAGCCGGCCTCTCTGCAGCAACAGCTGGAGGCTGTTCATCTAAACCCAGACAAGGCTGAGGTTTTCTCCCAGATCTGGGCCACCGCTGGCCCCGAGCTGGTGGAGAAGCTAAAGCACAATATCTTTGCCCCAAGGAAGGTAAAGCTCAGAAACAAGTTTATACATTTATTTTGTTGCTTGTTACATCAGACTGTTTAGTGCCAACTCTGAGCTTCATCTACAATTATCATGACTTTTTTTTTTAAACTCAAGTGTAACATTAATCCACTGAAGACTTAAAAGAACATGTTTCATACTATTTAATCCTCTTGAATTAAGCCCTGGTTAATGAGTTTATGCTAAATTGAAAATTGGCATTCTTCACCATTTTAAGAGACCTGTTTGAATTCATTAGTTATTTCACAGGCCACGTAAGTTGTCAATTTTAAAACCTGTTCCTATCTAACTTAATTAAGCAGTGATACTTCAGTGTTTCTCTCAACGTCAGTGGAATTAAGATCTAACACAAATGACCAGCATGTACAGATCAGCCACATTACAGTGGAGTTGCTGTCATACACGTGCACCTCTCACCTGCCTATGCCTCACAAGTTACAGCAGAAGGCTATAACAGGTATTGATCCTTAGGACAGCCTCTGCTGCTGCTTTGACATTCGGCAGTTGTCAAGTTACACAACAGACTGGACATAAGTCACCTGTATAGTTTCCTTAACCACTTTTTCATCACCCATTGTCCTCTTGGTGGCACTGTCAATTAAACATGTAGGTGCTGATCAAACTGGGGTGAACTATGGAGAGAAATTAGTAAACAGAAAATAAATTGCCAGTTATTTTGATCATTTATTAAGCATGGCTTTAGAAAAAGTAAGCATGCCAAACCTTTATTTCAGCTTCTCAAATGGGAGAAGTAATCTTTTGTCATACTGTACATAATTAACTGAATATTAAAAAGTGTTTGGGTTTTGGACTCATTGGACAAAACATCTTCAAATGTTGTCAGTTTGGACTGTGGGAAATCTCTTCCAGTGCATTTTATAGATGACTCCCCAATCAGCAGCTTAAACAGTAATGAGTAAATGTGAGTTGCAGCTGTTTGTCAGTATTGGTCACAACTGTATCAATTCTTAAATTTGTTCACAAAAGAATTTCCTGTTCACAAATACAATTCTACTTCAGCAAGTGTCAGTTTTCTACTTGTATAAGTATTTGCAGTATAAAGTTTGTTCATTCAGCATTTGCTTTTGAAATGCTTACTGTATATAAAGACAGGACGTTCCAGTTGGTCTTGAAGTAGGTCATTGCCAGTTACTTGATTGGCCAGGAAAGTTGCTGTTGACAGAGAACTAAGACTTCATCTGCATTAAATAGTGACGATTACTTTTCCTTAAAAAAAAAAAAAGTTACCAGCCATGGATGAAGCAGCAAATATACAAATAATTTAGACTGGAGATGATGTACATTAAGTTGCTGTACTATTTTGTCATTTTATGTATTACATAATATGCTTATTTGAGTCAGTTACTGTATTCATGAATTTCTTGGAGTGGATTAATTTGCATATGCTCAAAGTAAAATGTGCCACATCAAAGTGATGTTTGTTCATGTTAATGTAGATGCTGTCCAGTTGAGAATAATGTGGCCCAGCCTTTCCACACCTCACACCTGTGCGCAGACACTGTGGAAGCATCCAGACCCAATAAGTCACACATGGTTTATTATTATGGCCTCTCTCTGCATCATAAAACACTTAACTGCCCTGCCTCAACTCAGTGCTGCTAATCTGTCACACTGCTCAACATGACTGATGAGGTATCTCTCAGTAAATCAGCCAGGCAGGTGGAGAATTGCTAAGACGTGTGAGGAGGCACCGCAAGGTTTCTGCCTGACCTTAGTGTCAAATAGGCTTTTTCTTTTCCCCCTCCAAAGTCATTAAGTTGTAACTTATCAGGTAATGTTTGGCCATTATAACATTTGGCGGTTCCAGGCTGTCGGATGTGAGTTTTTTTTGTTTTTTTTTTTTTAGTAAATTGAATACTTTGCTCATCTAGGATGAATTAAGTAAAATATGGACTTTTGTAGTAACATGCTAAATATGTGATAGTGTAAAGTTGACTTTTTGTGACTGTTCATAAGGAGGAAAAAGGGACTCATCTTGGCATTTTCATAGTGTATTCTCATAGGCTTCATTGGTGTGTTTCAGCTAGAGTATGTCGGCTGGCAATTGACCCTGCTGATGGCCCAGTCTAGCCAAGCCAGACTGAAATCTCCCAGTGCTGTCCTTCAACTGGGGCTACGCAATGAAGACTCTGAGGTATGAACACACACAGACAGCATGCATATGGGTTTTTTTTTTTTTTTTGTGGCTATGCTTCATTTGTACCTTCACTGATCTATTACAAACTCCCTACTAAAAAAAAAAACATTCCTATTATCCAGTGTAATCTGAGAGCTTCTTTATAAGAAGCACCTCTGATCTGTCCTGCTTTCTTTGCTGATAGACAGTAATCCCCCCGGTGTGTGTCTTGACCCAGAGGCAGACCTGCATCTGGCTCCAGAGTAACTGTAGTGTGAAGACCAGTGATCAGGGAGCTTGTTATCTGAACTCTCCAGGGTGTGCCTGTTCTCTTGAGAGGCTCACTGTAGCTAGAATTACAGGATATGCATTTATTGGAGCATCATATTGCAACTGACATTCAGCTGTGTCCATTTATGCACAGCATCCAGGCTTGTTTAGTGATTAAAATTTAAGCTAGATGTCTGTCTTATTGAAGTCATTAGTGATGATTAGTTATGGTTTATATTGTTAATCCTCTCTTTACATATAGATATTAGTGTCAATTTAAAATGCAATACACATAATTGTGATGCAGCTGGTTAATGAGGCCTAGCCCTGAATAATTACCGTACATTTACAAAGGAACATGATGCAAATATGGATTTTCCACTTTAGCATTTTTCTGTTTCTGTTCATTTGCATTCAGTGGGGTTTGTTTGGATCCCAATTAGTTGATATTCTTTTTATATACTCTATTAGACAAGACCTCACAAGCCTTCCTCATTCATCTCTCACACCACTGTGAGAAGACTTGCTCTGTATCAAAAGCCAGTTTCTTTTACACATTAAACGATTTTCAATCTTTGAAGTTTGGCTCAAAATATTTTATCTAGATTAATCTTTTCATTCTTCTGGCAACCTCTTGACAATTTAGTGGGATCAGATTAAGCAAGTGATGTTGATGTTCTGACAAATTTGGAACTTATTCTGCATTTTGTAAAAGTTGGTGTGAATGCTGAAAATTTGACTTGACTAGTTTCTTTTAAGCCACTTTTGGTCACAAAATGGTGGGCTTAATTATCTGCCAAGCTCGACAGTATTGTTCCAACTGACTAGTCGTGTTTTTTTTTTTTTTTATAACCCACCTGCCTTTTCT